GTATGTATCATGCTGCTCGAATGAAAATGTACTTATGTTTTCAATTGATTAATAAACTGACAATCTAGCCTGGCTACAGGTACTCAAATAATAATAATAATAATAATAATTCAAGTATATTTTTAAATCTTTATATACAGTGTTTTTTAAAAAAATAAAAGAACCTATTAATATTGATAAAAGTCAAATTTTAACTGTTGATTACTGTATGTCATTATCATATCGCAAAAGCTAACCAAGTAACATCTAGGACACGATTTAACAAATAAAAGAGGAATAATCAGAATACTTGTAATTGGTCAAGTTCTATTCAAATTGTAAATTTATTTGATAAACTAATTTTTTCAAAAAAGGTTTGCGTGTAAAGTTACAATAAAGTGGCACAAAGTTTTAGAATCAAAACAACTAATATAATAAAGACGTCAACATACTAACGAAATGCTCTCTTAAAATACAAATTACTTTGAACTGTTGACTTTTTTCCATTGTGATTTGGCACCCAATACCGACGAAATCACACCAGCAATACCAACCAAACCATCCTCAACCTTGATGTATCCAAGAGCTGTAGCTGGAATCAAAATGTCAAGAAGATCTGTGAATAGTTGTCTGATGAGGTTTTTATATTCCCTAAAAATAAAATTTGATTAATATTTTGCATTAATAAAATGTAGCCCGTAAATTCTATACAAACGTTTCAAGTTTCGCTGCTTCAGCACGGATATTGGAATGCTCTCCACTCTCCGCAATTTTCGATTTATTGATTCTTTCATAGTAGTTATGCCTGTGCCTATTCTGATTTAACTTGTATACACCATGAATTAATGAGAATGTAATACCGGCAAGCCAAAATCTATAAGCGTTTTCGTTGATTTTCTTAATTTGGTTGAACTTGTATACACCAGAAACATGAATCTGTCATAATAAAACCGCTATTTGTTATTGCCAGAAATTGCGATAGCCACTACAAAAAAAAAAACGCTGCCTAATACCCAGGAAAAAGTATCCAGAAATAAATATAAGGCGTAGTTTAGCTGTCTTCCAACAGTAGTTGCTTTTGAGAAACCATCAGTGTCGTTAAAAGCTTTAGAAGCATTTTGCAAATGCTCTATAAACTTCCCAAGCCGCATGACTAAGATAATGAAAATACGTTAACACCATGCGAACGAAGGATTCCCAATCATGAAAAAACGAAAACGTGAACATACGTTTTCTGGAAGAGCCCAGAGTACTCTTCAAATTGTTAAATCGTTGAACCGTCTCCTTGTCATAACCTTTACGATTAAGGTGCCAAACCAAGAAACGAGCAAAGTATTGAACTCCCCTGTAGACCTTATCACGACCTACTGTCGTACCAGCATACTTGAGGGATTTTACGACGACGGGATGGTGGATTGTCTGCAGCATAGCTTAGCTCTCTTGATCTGGGTGGCTGTATAATTCGTACAACCATTGTAAATTCATAACCAAATTCCTTAGATTAGATTGAATTATCCAAAATATCTCTCTGATAATCATATCACGTGACAGTTTGTTACAAAAAGATTGTCGGAGTGTTTTTCATGTGATATTACTCCTCTATGTCGCAAGGTGGTCCAATAACCTGCCATGTACTTGACTCTTCAAGAGGTATCCCGGGTAAAAATATTGAAGTGCTTTTGGAACGATGTGAACCCGATGCCGGAGAAAAGCGGTGGAGCGTAGTTAATCGAACGTTCGTAATTCGCGATTTTACAGTAGTGGCTGTTTTATAACATTGATAACTATCGCGTAATATACTTAAATCCCGTCACGATCAGAAGAACCAATGAAGATGGAAGATGTCCTTCATTGGTTCCACCGGACTATAAAATCCCGCTGGAATATTACGATAATGATGATCAAGAAAAAGCCATTTATCGTATCACTTTTTACACTTCCACTTATTTTGAGGAATTAAATCAAAAAACCTTTTATCCTTTTGTTCAGGTAACTTCCCTATTAATCAGTTTCTCTCTCGACAAAGTTGAAGTCGATTATTTATTGTTTGACATATTCGCAGGTGATTTTCCAAATAACCGAAATCGGTCAACATTACCACATCCCACTGTTAATTAGCCCGTTTTCTTACACGACCTACCGTGGAAGTTAACTCAAAATCCCAGAAACTTATCTCTTTCGGTCATTCTTCCATTTATATACTGGAAACCCGTCCTTATCAACCCCGACTTTTTTTCGGCGACCTTTTCCCTGTGATTTTTTAGTTGTATATTAGAAAGGAAGCGTGCAGTTAACGGAATTTAATCGCGGTCACGTAAACATACCATCAAATTTTTCTGAATTTGCAATTCTTGTTCCACTTTCTTCAATTGCTCCTGTCTCTTCAAACGAGCTCCAAGTTCTTTGTATTTAGTCAAACGTTGTTTATGCAATTTCTGAATGAAGACGAGAAGTCAGTATTAACTTACAGTAAAAGAATTTTATTTCAAAATTTGTAAGGAATTAATTATAACCTGAAGTAATGTTTCGTCTCCTGAAGCTAATATAACTTCGTTCTCCAACATTTCTATTCGAGGCCTATTAAATTTTCGATTAACCAATTCAGGCAACGTATCAAAGTGTTTGGCCGGATCAAATTTCTTGGCTAGAATCAGTTTCACATGTTAACAGTGTAGGATTACGAATACTATTTGTTATTTTACGACTCAGTTACCTTCATCCTTTGTCTCTACAAATATGACGTGTTGTGATTGTAAAGATTTATGTTTTTCTCCTGCCTCCTCATCAGTCTCCATCGTATCTCGAATACCATAGTCATCAACAAAATGTAATTCATTCCGTAATCTTTCTATTTTCTTTAAATTTCGTTAAAGCTAGATCAGTTCAATTTGAATTTCTGAAGAAGGGATGAAAATAAAATGCATACCTTATTTCCAAGATCATGCTGAGTTTTCACATAATTCAAATCCTGTGATTTTAACATTTTGATAATGTCTCCTGAAAAAGTCGAATTACGCTCCACATGAATACCATCCTACATTGGAGATGATTGAGGAATAAATCGAAGGTAATCAAAGATAATTTTGTGGCGTAAAGTATTCCGATGGTATACCTTGGTCGCACTGTTTATCATCTTGAAATAAAATTCATCAGGATTTCTAAAATATGCTTTTTCCCGCATTTTGTTTAACATTTCCTGTTTTGCATGGTAGTCCTTTGCTCTGAGAACGTAATCTTTGTGTTTTTCAAGCAATCCATATTTCGTTCTGGAGTGCGGTTGAGCTCGCTCCTTGTGATTACGTCGTTGAAGTGCATTACGAAGTGAAGACATTTTACAAATTTGGTGAAACGGCAAAAATTTATTACACCCAATGTATATATTGCTAATCTCAACCAATGAGAGACCGACATTTCGTAAATCGCATAAAATTTGAAGGTATCGAAAATTTTTTTGTTCTTCCTCTGCAATTACCTATAGTTCTTCGATCAGAACATGGTAAGCATTCCAGATTTCGTCTCATAGTCCAATTTCTCTGGCAGAATTCTATAAAGAAAAAAATGTACGAATAATAAAAAACGAATTTACCTTCATTATCATTCATAGTCTAAGAAAGTGAAGAAAGTCAAAGTTGAAGAAAACATCTCTCTTGGGCCTCAAGTTCGAGAGGGTGAATTGGTCTTTGGCGTGGCGCACATCTTTGCCTCCTTTAACGATACCTTTGTTCATGTCACTGATTTGTCTGGTCGCGAAACTATCGTTCGTGTTACCGGTATGAACACTTTCGATAATTGATTATGACCACCTTTCTCTTAAATCTGTAGCATGCTTGATAATGTCCTATATCTACTCGAGATTCTCTCGGAAGTTCTTTAGTGCTAAATGATAAAATTGGGTAGGGAACAGCATGATCAAGTCATCGATTGCTTCTTGATAAAAAAATGCCCAGTACCTTACCTCATGTCATTGAATGCACTTTGCGATTAAGCAAAAAATTTTTTTCTGAATGGACAAACTCTTTAAGGGACCAGTGGTGAAACACATACTCCCAAAATAATAAAACTGATGCACATTTTTGTTATTTGTCATGTCGTTATATGCGATTTCTACCTTTAAAATTAAAAAATTACAGGTGGTATGAAGGTGAAAGCCGACCGCGATGAATCATCCCCCTACGCCGCAATGTTGGCGGCTCAGGATGTTGCTGCTAAGTGTAAAGAGTTAGGTATCAACTCTTTGCATATCAAACTCCGTGCCACTGGTGGTAATGGTACTAAAACTCCTGGACCTGGCGCTCAATCAGCTTTAAGAGCTTTAGCCAGAGCTGGCATGAGAATTGGCAGAATCGAGGATGTTACGCCTATTCCCACGGATAGCAGTATGTATTAATTTGAAACTTGATTCTTTTATTCATTCACAATTCATGCATTCATACTCATGTTTTTTTTTAAAAGCCCGTAGAAAAGGTGGTCGTAGAGGTAGACGTTTATAAAAAAATTCCAAGAAACATATTTAAACATGTTTTTTTTTATTTCTTTTCTCGATGTCTGACCGATACCCGATAAATCGATAATAAAACGATTTTTACGCAAACCTCTGTCATTTAATTAAATTTTTGTATCCGAGATGGAATTACTACATTACCATTTTTGATTAAAAGCGGGCGATTTTAATAGCTTCATTTTTTTCTTCGGATTGGTATGCAAATGCTTTTGAACATTGCATCAACCCAATCAAAGAATCAAGGAGTGCCAGCCTGGTAATCCCAGAAGAAAAAATTACAAATAAGGGCACTTATTAGATTTTATAAACCAATATACAGTATCATTACAAGTAAAGGAGATAAAAGATTTTCTTAGAAACAACAAGAAGGAAGTTTTAAAACAAAAAACAATAATTAGCAAGGATGAAAATAAAGTAACAAAATATAGAAGAAAAAATAATTAGAATAGTAATACATAATGTTAGAGAGAAAGATAATAAAAAAGATTAATAAAACATTATAGAGAAAATAACAAAACAAGATATTGATATGACAGAATACCATAAATAAAACAAAGTTAATAAAAACAAATAGCAAATAGGTTTTTAATAAAAACAAAATCTTTAAAAGCAATTATTGCACTTTTTTTTTTATTACAAATCTTTTTAATTAAAACTTGATTTCTAGTCATAAAAAAAAATCAATTAATACTTTTATTATCAATAATAAAAAAAATTTTAATGAAAAAAGAACCAATTACAAGATATTTAAAAACTTATCTATTTTTAAAGTAAATGTTTATAAAGGTTTTAGTAATAAAAAATTTTTATTTTTTTTCTTATTAACTATATATATATTTTTTAAAAACTTATACTTTTATAATTTTCTAAAAAATTTTAATTATCTTAATTTAATTTTAAATTAATTATTGAATAGCATTAATTAATATAAAACAAGTTAGGTTTTAAAATATAAGCAAGTCTTTAGTAATAGGAAAAATTTTTGTAAAAAAATTTTTTTAATTAAATATATTTAAAAAATATATATTATTATTATTAAAAAGTAAATAATAAAAAAATTTACTCTTTCCATTAATCTTCTGATCACACACAAAAAGACATTTCCAAGAAGTTTTTTTATTTCTTAACTAATATAATCTTTTTACTTTTCTTAAAATAATTTGAAGCTTGTTTTCAAGAGTCACTATTACCTTCCCTCACTTGTTTACAAACTCCTTTAAACAAAAACTTGAGCCTTTAATAGCCTAAATAGACTTAAGCACGTACTTTCTCTATTAAATGCAAGAAGGTTCTAGAAAGTAAAAAAACCTATAGATAAAAATATATCCTTAAAATAGTTAATAGGAACATAAGCAAGAACATAAGTCAGGCTGACTTTCGGCTATAAGGACATAATATTTAGATTATAAAATATATATAATTTAATAAAATAATATTATTATTATATAATTTTATTTTTAAAAAAAAAACAATAAATAAAAAAATTAATTAAAATATTAATAAAAAAATTATTTTTATTTATTTAATTTATTAAATATCTTAAAAACTTATTAATAAATAAAAACTAAAATTAATTTATATTATTTTTATTAATTTATAATATATTTTTATATTTTTTTGAATTAAAATTAAGTTTTAATTAAATTAAATTAAATTTATATTATTTAATTTTTTTTATTAAATTTAAATTTTTTTATTAATAGTTATAAGTTAATATTTAAAATAATATTAAGAAACTATATGTAATTTTATATATAGAACATTTTTTATTAATACCAAAAAATATATTTTAAACTTAGATTTTTCATAAATTAATAATATTTATTTTTTAATTATTAAAAATATTAATTTTATTTTATGTTACACAAAATGTCAATCCCATAGCTCCGGAGAAATATATGTCATTTTTTTAATAATTACATTATAAATTTTATTTTTTATTATAGAATTTGGTGGGAAATTTTGTTTTCCTTTTTATTATTCTTTAAATTTTTTAAAAAATTTATTATTAATAAACTTTGATTATAAAGAAAAATCTCTTTGAATTTAAAAAAAGAACTTAGTGAAAAAAC